GGCCCTCTTAATTTTTATTGTTTTTTGATTTTGAAATGGCAATAGCTATTACATCACAACGTGAACTGAGACTTTCGTCTCTATGACAAGATGTCAGAAGCGACGATCAAACTGTGATAACTCGGTTAGTTAGTCCCCCTCCCCACCACACTACACGTGTGAAAGTTTCATGATGATGTCGGACCATAAACTAGCACGCTTCAAAGAGGCAACAAAATTAATTCTAAGACTTTGGATACAACTAGCGACTGATCAACCGAAAAATGAACAGATATTGAAATTGATTTTTCGTCTGAGTTCTAATTTCCACTTTAGAGTATTGTTGTAGTCAGCATTGGTTTTCTTGTTCTTGTTAAACGCAATATATAGACGAAAGTTTCGTGATTATGTCGAACCATGGACTGTTCATACGTCAAAGGGGCAGCTAGAAATTTAGTTGGACATAGACTTTTTACTTATATCCGGATATTATTTGAAAAATGTAGAAGTTTCTGATAATTTAGAATTTAGATATATTTACCACGATTCATAGCTTTTTGGGGGCCAAACCAAGTGTTTCCTCACCATTTCTATGCCAAAACTATGAGAGTTATTACCAACTGATGAACCAAGTTATGAGGAAATATTTGACTTTTTTTTTGCTGTTCTCGTGTCCAGAATACCAATGCCGACAATCTTTCTCATTCTTTCTGTTTTAACTATTACAAGTAAAACTTTGGTCCAGTTGATTCAAAACCGGTTTATTAAAAAAACAAACAAACAAACAAACAATTAACAAAACAAAAAACAAAAACCTTTGGTATTTTAAGCTTTTGTAGGTGCGCGACTTTGCGTGACTGCACTCCTCCATCGTGACTTGTTATTGGGTTTTTTACAGTGGGGTGTTGACATTTAAGTGACGAGGATAAATCTGTAATTTTGCGTCGGAATGGCAACCTATGGGAAAATAAGTGAATTTGAAGAAACAGAGGAGTCATGGATTCAGTATGTCGAGCGCCTGCTGCCTAGTATTAAGGCATCTCGAGCAATCTTCATGTTTCTGTGTTTTTTATGTCATAAAAGCAGTATTTGTTTTTTTT